TTTCGTTTGTTGTTGATGAAATCGATTGACACAGATCAGCTGATTTTGAAATCTCAAACTGAGTTGCGAGAGGAAAAATAAAGGCATCGAGAGTGTGTGTGTGTGTTATTTTCTGTGAAAGGTCAAATCGTTGAGGAAACTGCAAACATGTTTACCTGGTGATAGCAACTACTGCTACTACTACTACTACTACAGCTAGTAAGTAAACAATTCCCGTCCTGCTGGAGAGACACTGAGACCACTGAGCAATAAATAAATAGTCTGCACACTACAAACATGCACTTCCAGTAACAGGTGTAGAAACAACAAAAGATGCGATGCGGCTCTCCTCTACCGGAAGAGATATCTTTCGTGTACAACTTCTTTTTTTTTTTTTTCTTCAATTTTTTGAAAAGTGTGCCACGTTCCGACCTCTCCTCGTACACGGACTACGCACCTTCACTACGATAATCACAGAGTTTGACTGACTGGTCGTACCCACCGCCGCTGCTGCTGCTGCTGCCGCTGACATTCACATGTACAACAAAATCCTTTACAAACACACAAACCAGGCGCGCGCATTCCTCTCGCATCCTTTTAATCACATTTCCTTCATTTACGTTTTATTTGTTTATGCATAATCGCAACTGTTTTGCGTACACGGACAAACAAGATTTCCAATCCAAGTACTCTCAATCTGGACCACCGTTGATCACAATTCACCACCACCAATTAAACTATTCACTTCGTTCTTTCATCTCAAATTTCGTCAAGATTTAACGATGCAATTAGAAACGATATGCTTGAACGCGATAAATCGCCGATGAATGAAGGCGTTGCGTCTAATTAGCGAATTCGCTTCTTAATTAGCAATTGGATGGTCGAGGTTCGTAGGCAACCAGGATTGCGTTACATAATCACTAGGACAGGCGCAATTATTCACAACTTTGTTTACCGAGCGCGCAAAATTTTCAACAAACTCGATGTCGAAGACCAAACGCAATCATTCGAACATTCAGAGTCAGCACAAACCGAAATCACTTTAGTTACCCTATGAATCATAAATAAATATTATGCATACAAACAATTTGGATCGTGCACAATTAGTTTGGAAGCGATAGTCATGTCAATGCAAGAAGTTTAATTAGTGGATACGAAAACTTACGAAAGTTAAGTAACTTGAACGATGAAGGTTAAGTAACTTCCCGATTTGTTAAAGTAACAAGTCTATAGAAATGATTGGCCAATTAGAAGAGGCATTTCATAACAGATATTGCAGGAACGATTCCTATTGGCAGCAGCAACAAAACAAATATATTTGAATCAATATGCTTATAAATAGCGAAATATCTGAAAAGCTACGTCACATTGCATTATAGATGAGAGGAATTTCATATCGACGATTTCCACGAATCTCACGTTCAAATATTGAAGGGATTGTTGTCGTTTTATTTATTCGCAGGTTTTCCATCCATATTTTGGCATGTGCCAATAACAATCAGACACTCATATATAGGTGTTATTCCGCTCGGTGTAAACTCTGGAATGTGCTCATCAAAATACGATCGATCGTCGGTTTGTTAATTATTCAGAATTAGTGTGGTCGTGTCTGTGCTCCACCTTACCATACCCATCAACATAGACACACACACGCACACAGAAAATACCATTAAAATTTAAACATCGTTACGTATCCCTCACATTAAATTGACGTTACAAAAACAGACGCTCTCGTAAAAGGAAACTTTAATGGTAACTAAGGTTACCGTAGTTAAGAAAACAACCTTGCGACCTAAACAAAAGGTTATTTGATAGATTAGTAGTGAGCTTGTAATAAGGAAATCAAGTATTCAAAAAACTTCACATTTATATTTCTAGTTTATAATTATTCATTAAACGAGAAACACTAAAGGAAACATCTTCAAAAGTGACAATTTAACGAATAGTTCTTGTTTTAAAGATTCGAATTTAATGTCAGCGACGTATTGAAATTTATAATATAAATTGAAAATAGTGTTCAGGAGTTTCGTACAAAAGGAAAACGAAAGTTACCGCAGAAATAGAGCTTTATCCGCGCGCGAGATCTTGAATACATCATGCAAATGAACGCGGGGGGGGAGGTCGAACAATACGAAAAGCAGAACAATTGCACACGAATTTCCACGTCGCGGATTTCTCCTCCAGTTATTTCTTCCTCCTTTTTTTTTATTTCTATTTTCGTGAACTCGGAAACAAAGTAGTTAAAGGACGCCGCGAAACGATCGATGACTGCGAAAATGCCGAAAAAGAAATTGTTACGAAGTAGGTCTCGCGTAATCATAATTAACATTTGTTTCGTTTCCTTGAGACTGGCGCTTCGATCCCGACCATCGATTAACAACAATACTGTGGACTTACCATAGTTTCGCATTTATGATAATCCATCTTGTATCAACAACAACAACAACAACAACGAAAAGAGACACCGAATTTTCTCTTTATTTTCTTTTTTTTTGCTGCAGTGGATCGTCGCGATTTTGGTGCGTTGAACTTAACACTTTATTTACTTGTCGCGGGCGTCGTGTTGTGACGTCTATGCGACTGCAGGAACAGGAGCGGACGTCGCGACGCCAGCGCCGCTCCTACCCCACCTCTCAAACACTCACTCTCTCTCTCAATGTTTCTCGCTCTCTCGCGCGCAGAACGAGGTGGAGGAAACCTGGCGGGGGATCAATAGATCACAAATAAAATAGTTGCGCGTTTAAAATTAAATGTGCCAACATCCTGTGACATTTCTTTGTGGAATTACCCGCAAAAGATGCAACAACAACACGAAAACAACGAAAATAAGTCACCTCGATAGTCAGGTTTTTGAGGAGAGCATTACAAAAACTGTCGCCGCGAATTGGATAACAATTTCTGAGAGAAACAAACATTTATTGCCTCGCGCCACCAGACTCAAGATTTCCCAACAAAAGCTACAATAGAAGGAACAATAGTTATTGCTTAATGCACACCGAAATTGATCGATTCACAGTTCAGAAATAGTTATTCCAAACAATGAAATTGCTGCGTTAATTTCCCGGTGAGAATCGAAACTGGCAATAAACGCTCCAACGCTCCGAACGATGCATGTCTATATTATCAACAATTAACAGCAATTACGGGATTCGTATATAAACTATGTACCTTTTATATTTAGAACGTGCAACGGACAAACAAACACAAAAAAAAACCAACATAAACGATAGCAAGCAAAACGCGTTTCGTCTCTGCTTCCAGCGTAATTATTTATTTTCGTTATAATATCAACGCATTTCTCTGTTGTTGTTGTTTTCTTTTTATTCTACGGGAACAAATAATAAGTTGCACAAATCGATAATAAAACTACGCTCACGTCACGGTGCAATAAATTCAAATTAATTCCGTTTACCAAAACTTAATGTTCAATCGGATATTTAAACAATAGTTTTGCGAATGAACGAGACGCGCGTGCAATTTGTCAAGTGGATTTGGACCAAAGTGATTTAGCTTTAATGATGTTCGGTTATTATAACAATATCCTGTTTTGGTTTTACGTAATCCACGTCAGACTATTAACTTTAATGATACACGGATCTGGCGTTGAGGAAACGATAAAAAATCAATTCCCGAACGCTTAATTACATCGGGAAAACAAAAAGTAAAGAAAGAAAGAAAACAGGGACGAATCGTATCGTCGTAGCACGACACACTTATTAAATAATGAAGTCATTTTGAATTACGCATAGGATGTGTCGTTGTTTCTACACACACACACATAACGCACAGACAAGTACGACACGATTGTAGAACGAAATAGGTTTTTCGTTGATTCTAAATCGCCTCTTCAGCATTATAAATACAAACACTTTTATATCGACGTAGAGGAAATCTGATCAATCGCTGCACAAATGAAAAACACAAGCAATAAGGTCATAGTTTGCAATGAGACGTGATTTACTTATATCAATATTGCGCGTTAAAGATTTCATACGTGAATATAAACAGTGAATAAAATTTAAATTATACAATTTTACCAATTGCGTTCTACAAATTCATTACAACACCGTATTGAAAGTTTTGATCATAAAAGCGTTAACATTTTGTTTTTTAAATAAAATTGTTGAATCTCTTATAGAACAGTCTTCAGTTGTTCATTTGTGGATTACTTAGAATAATTTCCCTTTATATTCAAAATTTTAAATCCAAGAAGCCTGAACTATCCAATTGAAAGTAAAGTAAAAATTCGGCTACTTTTTCAATAATATTGAAAACTCTACAATTCAAGTAATGATAATTCAATTATACGCAAGTATAACGTTCCGTATTATATAATGTATACGAAACTACAAGTATTTTGCATAATAAATCACACTTTTCAATTTCACTATAACCTTGGCTGGGAGTAATTTGTTGTTTTCTATAGTAAATATTATATTTGCAGTGCAAAGTTGATATACATAAGAGAAAGGAATAAATAACAACATTCTTTTTGAATGGAAATTTACAATAATATCAACAAAAACATCATTCATATAACATACAGTAATAAGGAAAAATTGCAATAAGATTTGGTATACCAAAAAAATTTATCTTTTTTTTTTATTAATAATAATTCGATATTACTTTGAATATAGTTTACTCACTTGATACAAGTAACATACTTATATCAAGTGGGCTTTGATTCAAGACAATTGAGATTGAATGACTCAACAGGTGGGCAAAATCATTGTACTCACCGTAGTGGTCCAGTCTGCACAATCCCTTCTATTCTATTCAGTTGAACGCATTCAAATTGGAAAACGTTCGTCGATATGTTCACAATCAGATTCGCAATTGCATTAAGTTAAATCAATTAAAGGACACTACACACGGACAGTTTGTTTGCAACTGATGCTCATCGGAATTTAAATGTCAGCTGATGAGGAGTTGTCAAAAGTCACGTATCAGAAGTTGCCTGAGCTGTAGGCAATGTTTACCTCCTTCAGATGGAGAACAGTGTGTTGCCTATATCGTTAAAATTTGCATTTTATCGTAGCCTGGGCGTGTGCTCTGCGTGAGTCAAACATAGCCGACTGGATCAAGCTGTGAGTGCAAGTATTTCTTCATCCTCGTTCGTGTCGACTGACCAGAGTCCGCGAATTTAAAAATTTCATCTCCAATTGGAAAAGAGCAAACGATGGCAGAACAACACCGTTTCGGTAATATCGTCACACCGATCACTTGCCATGCATGGAACAAGGACCGAACTCGTAAGTTAATCATACGAAACAGTATTAAGCATACAAAAAAAAACACCCTCTAAATGCGCTTGCAGAGATTGCTATGTCCCCGAACAACAATGAGGTCCATATTTACAAGAGGACTGGCCTGGACTGGAAGCTGCTGGATGTCTTGAACCAGCATGACTTGCGAGTCATGGGTATCGATTGGGCTCCCAACACCAACAGGATTGTTACATGTGCTGTGGACAGAAACGCCTACGTTTGGACTCAGGGGGAAGACATGAAGTGGAAACCGACTTTGGTTCTGTTGCGTATCAACAGAGCAGCAACTTGCGTGAAATGGTCCCCAAACGAGAATAAGTTTGCTGTGGGTTCCGGAGCTAGACTGATATCTGTCTGTTACTTTGAATCTGAGAATGATTGGTGGGTCTCCAAGCACATCAAGAAACCAATCAGATCGACGATCACTGCGATCGATTGGCACCCGAACAACATACTTCTGGTTGCCGGATCCGCCGATTTCAAAGTTCGTGTCTTCTCAGCTTACATCAAAGACATCGAGAAGACGCCCGATGCGACCGCTTGGGGCTCCAAGATGAGTTTGGGTAATCTGATGGCGGAATTCCCGAACTCGCCCTGCGGCGGTGGATGGGTGCACAGCGTGAGTTTCTCACCGGACGGTAACAAAGTTTGCTGGGTCGCTCATGATTCCACCATCAACATCGCCGATGCCACGAACGGCAACGTCACGTACAAACTTCGCACCGAGTTTCTTCCGTTCCTCAGCTGCACTTGGATCACCGGCAACTCCATCATCGCTGCTGGTCACAGCTGCATTCCAATTTTATACACCCTGAGCAGCAACGGACAGCTGGTGTTTAACGCAAAGTTGGATACTTCTCTGAAGAAGGAAATTGGTGGCATCTCCGCTATGAGGAAGTTCCAGAGCTTGGATAAGCAGGCTCGCACAGAGTCGAACGATACCAACTTGGACTCCATCCATCAGAACGCCATCACGTCTGTTGTTCTCTACTCCGGCACGAAGGAGAACACCACCAAGTTCAGCACCTCCGGATTGGACGGACAAATGGTCATTTGGGACTTGGTCTCTCTCGAGAAGTCCATGCAAGGACTCAAAATTGCTTAAAAGTTGTTTTTTTTTTCTTTCTTTCTATTTTTATATTCGCAAAGTGTGTTCCAATTCTGCGCGTTCATTTTATAAATATGATTTAACCATTTTAATTCTTAAATAAAGTCAATTTCAAGTCTTCACCAATGTACTTATTCCAATTTAAAAACATTCTGATTCTTTGAATCAACATAATTAAGTTATGAATACTTTCAAACTGTTGCATCTCATTGTTAATGAACTTAATCTTATCTTTATATTAAAAGTTAACATCCATCAATAACAATAAGCAATTTAAGAACAAATAAGTATAGGCAAGCATATTTACATGTGTGTAATATTATAGCATACATATTGAAAATCCAATTAATTATCAATAGCCATACAATTATCAATAATATTGACTCTTTGACTCTGAATAAACGAAGATAATTTATTTGTTTATGTTACAAAATATTTAAGAATGCTTTGATCTTAAATTCATCATCATTTTATTGTATATTTTCAAACAACATTTCTGATTGAAATTTAATAAATATCCTTGAAATATATAAAAAAAAATATTTCTATAAAAAGTTTCTAATTATGTATTACAAATAAAATAATAAATACATTTAATAAGCAATTATTATATAAAAATAACGTAATTGCAGCAAATTGAATTTAAATATTTATGCAATTATGTTGTTTTCACGTTTGATATGGATTTTGTAAATTGGTGCAATTAGTACATTTAAAAAAAAAACTCATCTAATTGGTCCTAGTGGAATAATTAACATTATATGCTTATCGTCTTTATTTATTCTTAATGTTTTTCATGTATCAAATCCTTGTTTTACAGATCCGATAAGTTGAAAATGTAAATAAATAATGATAATAACGAAATGGTATTACAATGCACTTTGTCCTCACGGTCTATGGTTCCTATCGTGAATATATAAAAGCGGGGCAGGCGTCGACCGCATTGCTCAGTTCAGTATTACAGCGAGAAAGTGTAGTTATCGAGACTTAAGTACGCTTCAAAATGGCTAACATTCAACAGGTTCGTAGATTACTTCGTATCATCCGTAAAGCCGAAGCACTAATCCCAAAGGTTTCTCACCTCAGATTTTAAGGTCAACCCTTCGACCAGCGGCCAGAGCATACTCCACAAAGTACACGGGAGGTTACAATTTCGGTGAGAATTCGTCTGCAACGAAATAGTTTTTATTTTCATCCTGACGCGTTTTGTTTACTCGATCAAAGGTCACGACTCGTTCAATTGTAACTTATCGCCCAGACATAAACTTTTCGTATTTATTTGGGCTGTTGTACGTTGATACGATTAATCTAATAATTAGGTCATTTTCGTCACAATTTTTGGCCCTCTCGCCCACTTACAGCCCAAGTTGGACAACGCGTGCATCTAAAAATACAATATAATGCTCCAACTTGGTCAATTTCGAAAGTAGAAGAGCATATTTTAATCATTCATTTATAAAAGCTTAACATGTACTTTGATTATTTATTAATAATCTCCATCACAATTATGATATAAAGTACATGACTACAGATACAAATAAATAATGTTCATTTTATGTTAATTTTTCAACGACCTGACCAAATATTTGTAATAAATGCAAATATTGTTTACATTTCTCAAATGATGATTGATTAATTTGTGCGCAAATTCTAAAACTTGTTTGCATTAATAAAAGAACTTCATTGAAACCAAAAACAATATAAATAGATGCATATGCATGTTCCAATTGGAAATATTTAAATTGCAAATTGTTTCAATGCATAATGTAAACCGTTTAATATTTAAACGATTCGTTCGAAAGCAAGCGTTGATACTTCTCTCTCGAATTAATATGCATATATGTTTAGAAAGTAGAATCAAATCAATAAAACAGTTAATGATTCCTATTTTATTATAATATTTGTAAAGAAAGTAAGGTATTTCATGCAATGATTAATAGAATCAAGCTTGGAATTTTAATCATATCTCGATGTTAGATAACGTACTTGAATTGTGTTGTTATTTTCTATAACTATTCTTTTTTAATTGAACTATTTATTTTATATAAATACATTTACGCGTTTCTAATAATTGAATAAATAAATCAATTAATGTTATCTTGTTATAAACAACGATAAGATTCGTGATAATATTAATGTAATTATCGTTTTTAGCTCTGAACGATACGCAGAAGGAAATCCAGGATGTTGCGCGTAAATTCGCCCGCGAAGAAATCATCCCCGTCGCTGGAGAATACGACAAGACCGGAGAGTACCCGTGGCCCTTGATCAAAAAAGCCTGGGAGTTGGGTCTGACGAACGGTCACATCCCGGAGGAATTCGGTGGTATGGATCAGAGCGTCTTCGACGGTTGCATGATCGGCGAAGAATTGGCTTACGGATGTTCCGGTATATCCACGGCCATCGAAGCCACCGGTCTTGGGGTGAGTGCAACGTGTACTTTTATGCATAAGAAGGATGAATTGATTAATACGATGATTGCAGCAAGCCCCGATCATCCTGGCTGGTAACACTGAGCAAAAGAAAAAGTACCTGGGACGTCTCGTCGAAGAACCACTTGTCGCTGTAAGTGCAATCATTGTTGAATGTTGAAGATTTTTAATGGAATTAATGATGATCCTTTTCAGGCGTACTGCGTGACTGAACCTGTTGCCGGATCCGATGTTAACGGAATCAAAACCAAGGCTGAGAAGAAAGGAGACGAGTGGATCTTGAACGGACAAAAAATGTGGATCACCGGAGGCGGCGTTGCTAACTGGTAAATTTTATATTACCAATTGAATTTTGGATATTTCAAGTGTATGATTATTAGGTACTTCGTGTTGGCGAGAACGAATCCGGATCCGAAGGCTCCGGCCAGCAAAGCCTTCACCGGTTTCATCGTCGAAAGGGATTGGGCTGGAGTCACTCCAGGAAGGAAGGAACTGAACATGGGACAGAGGTGTTCCGACACCCGTGGAATCACTTTCGAGGACGTCAGAATCCCGAAGGAAAACGTGCTCATCGGAGAGGGTGCAGGATTCAAGATCGCCATGGGCACCTTCGACAAGACCAGGCCACCAGTACGTGATCAAACTGAAAACAAACATTTTAAACTTTGCGTGTTTTCTTCCAATTGTAGGTAGCTTCAAGCGCCACCGGTTTGGCTCAACGCTGCTTGGACGAAGCCTCAAAGTACGCCACAGAGAGAAAGACCTTCGGCACGGCGATCATCAATCATCAAGCAGTCGCTTTCATGCTCGCCGATATGGCCATCAACGTGGAAACCGCACGTTTAGCTTGGATGAAATCCGCCTGGGAGGTGGACAACGGTATGCGCAACAGCTACGCCGCCGCCATCGCCAAATGCCATGCCGCTGACATCGCCAACAAGTGCGCCTCCGACGCCGTCCAGATCTTCGGCGGAAACGGCTTCAACAGCGAATACCCGGTGGAGAAGCTGATGCGCGACGCCAAGATCTTCCAAATCTACGAGGGCACCTCCCAGATCCAACGCATCATCATCTCCAGGCACATCATCGATGCCTTCAAGAGCAAGTAAATCAAGTATTATCATCAAATGCTAATTGTTTCAAGTATTCGTTGTTTTCTACCCACTCTATGTTTTTTTTTTTTTAATTAATTTATCCATTTTTATAAATTAGTGTTTATCCACTGAATAAAGATTTTACTCGTTAAAACAAATCTTTCTATTTATCCTAATAACTATTTAGCTTTATTTCATGACATACTTTAAGTTTAAAATATTAAAATTGAAAAAGTATAAACATATTATTGTTTTGTTTATGAATAATCGGAAAGATAAACAATGAACATCCAAAATCCAAAGTTTAGTAAGCCAACTTTGTTATTATTTAGATTTGGAAAGGTCAAAGCGGGCGTGCGTCATTGCAGAGAGAACGTAATCAAGTTCAAAAAAATTGTCTAGCTGCAAATAAAAACTTGAATACTGTTTGTTTGTCCGTGATCGTTGCATCGGTTCGCGTGCAAAAGTATGCATTGTATTTATCATTTGAATGAAGACAATGTAAGAAGGCACTGCGAACAAAAAAATTGATATTCGAACAATTTAAATACATTTGTTTCCTATACTCAAGGTTTATATTGGACTTTCAAAAAATGTTACTTTCATTGTAGAATAATTAAGGATTTTATGATGTATCAGTTATAAAACCAATTAAGTTTTAGTAGAAGAGAAGTTGAAAACACTCTTATTGTATTTTACTAACATCAATTTTAATTGTTTATCAATCGAGTTTGTCGTGAATAACAGGCAACGCATCCTAGATTTAAAAATTATTTATTTAATTCTCGGGGGTGTTGCGAAAGGTATAGGAGGAAGGATTAAAAAAATAAAGTAAATTATACATTAGTAGCTGTACTGCCTGAAAGTGTGTATGGCTTTGAGGCGGCAATCGAACAAGTATTATAACAAACTAAATTACATATTGTGTAAACCTAATTTTGGAGGGTTTGCGACCCTCTCGAACAAAAGATATTATGCAAGGGCTTGTATTGGGGGGTAACTTGGGTGCATTAAGTAAAATTATATCGAGTGTGTATCATATATTTTTAACATAATTTACCTTACCTTGTATGGGTGGGGGATTATTATTATTGTAACATATATATAAAAGCTTAGTTTGGCTTAAAATAATACAGGCAAATTGATTCAAATTAAAAAAAAAAAAACAACAAGAGATATAAGAATGCCGCCTGATTTTGTGTTTTCAACTACTGTCTAGGTTGAAAGTAGCAAATTGAAGCTGCACACTTTCATAAGAGTTGCTAAAAACAGCTGCCCTCTGGAGGCTGTGTCAGCTTCATGTTCTCCTTCAACGTCATTAATCTCCTCAACTCCTGCAGCACAGTCTTAATAGTGTAATCTCGTTGCCACCTAGCCAGTACTGGGACACTCCTGTTGTCAACCTAAGAAACACGACAATGAAATTTGTAAACAAATGTAAGGGTTATCTCTTTTCTTTCGTCTTCTTCTTGTTGTTGTAGATAGAACTCACCACTCCAGTCGATGTGTTTATACAATTGATATTAATTCTAGAGATGAATTTCGCGACTGGGGCATCGTCCGGGTACCTCTGGCCGCACTCAATCTTCACCGAGTACATGCGGTTCTCGTAGGGGGTGCGCGGTGGCCCAATGATCATACCGTTCCAATGGGTTAGGGTCATGTCGTCGTCGTTCTCCAGACCCCAGCTGATGGTGCCATCACCGACGCCTTTCTGTCCTGCTTCCAACTCTTCGAGAAGTCGGAAATTCCTCGGTACCACTGCAAAACGAACGAACGTGCGATTATTATTATTTGTGTGTGTGAGGGGGACAATTGATTTGCTGATGCGACCTACCCACACCGGTTGATGGAGCCGCCATTATTTTATGCAAGTGTCAGAAAAAATAACACAATCCGACAAGACCACAGAGTAAACGCCCAACGACTTCCGGCCTAATTGCACCTGCACAGATTAATACTGATTACCTTGGTTCTATCTTCGACGATCAGACCATTATTCTGAGAAAAGGAATAACGAACTCTCACTTTACCTTGATGCTCCAAATTGAAGCCTATATTTTATGTGATTTTCTGCTCCTGTCACTTCCGAGCTAAACTTTTACGTTGATACAGTTGGCTGCAATGCAGTAACCAATGATCATCATCAAAGCAGTGTTTACCAACCTTTATATATCACCCAGTCTTCATTTTCTCCACATTCCTATACTCTTAAAAAACCTATTTCAATTCTTTAATTCTTAATGAATAAACATTTTAAGAAACATGTTCCTAGCAAATTGACTACATATTCAATTTTGAATGTTTAAAACACTACAGGTATGGAAAGTCTGGTGTGAATCAATTAAATTTATTTCATTCATTAAAAATAACTTTTTGATTCAATCTACATAAACACAACAACTAAAGAACAAAAGTTAGCTTATAAATAAAAAACTATATAAATTGATCACAAATTCTAATGTGTTCCTAATTGCTATAATTAATTTAAATGTGCCTTGGAGCTAACTTCAGTTTAGTTTACAATAATGGCGGACCTGGTGGAGTTATTATTTTTCGATACGTTCGCTCATGAAAATACCGAAGTAAGTATACTTCCCGAGTGTTTTATTTGTTCCGGTGTTAATATCTGTTGCGGTTTAGGAACTGAATTTGGATTTAGTGCAGTTTCCGAAACCGGTTTATGTCACGGAGGTGAGGATAATACCCCTGGGGGCGCGAGTGCAAGCCGACTTTCCCGGTGGTGTACGTCTGGGCGCCACAAACCCCAGCCAATTTCAGATAGAGTTCTTCGTCAACGATCTTGGCAAGCCAGGCGCCAGCACGTTCGAAACACTTGGTGGATTCGAGTACAATCAGAATGGGTGCATCAACCTTAACTGTCTACCAAATGATACAGTTCGGAAGATACCTACTGACGGTTTGGTCCTAAGAGGTATGCAATAATCTACTGCAATGTTAATGGCATTGCTATTATTATTATTGTCGTTCATTTTCGATGAATTTCTTATAAGATTCATCTGAATAATATTATTTCTAGGATGGTATACAACTATAACATTAGCAGTCTATGGAACATTGACTGCAAATATCACAGAGCAGATCATCCCTCCAGTGGTAACACCTTCATTGCCAGCTCAGCCAAACACAATTTCTGATGTTCAGCAGATTATCTCACAGAATCCAATTGAAAATGATTGGCAAGAACCTATACAGCAAGTGCCTATGGAATATAACCAACAAACAGCCACACAGTACCCGCAGCCTTATGTCTCACAAGAGAACTACCAGCAAGAAAACTATGGTGAATATTATGGTGAGGCTCCTAAAGATCCTAGAAGTTATCATCATACACCAGAAACGGATTGGGACAATAAGGGTAGGAGTCGACCTAGTGAAACGGAAAACACTAGGGAACAACGTACACGAGATGCCCCAAGTTATCCAGTATGTTTTCTACTTTACGTAATTGGAAGATCGTTAATAAGTAATGTTTTAGCAAAAGCCTGAGGTTGAGCAAAGCGAAAGGAGGGAGAGGAGATATTCGCGGTCGCACAGCAAGGACAGAAATTATAGGGAGACTAGCAGGGATAAGGAACAGGATCGTGATTGGGATCATGGATATCGCGAACATGACAAAGATTGGGATGGACGAGACCGAGACAGATACAAACATTCGGATAACTACAGGTAGTTTATAAATTAGTAAACTTTAAAAATTCAACTAGATTGGTATTTTGTTTGCAGGAGATATAACGATAGAGAGGAACGGAAGAGACCTAGAACACCGCCTCCAGTTCACTCTCCGAAGCGACCTCATACTCCGCAAAGTGACAACGCCAAAGCTTCCCCTAAAGAAATGGACATCTTGAGCGAGGAGGAAGTGGAACGGCAAAAGATGGAAACATCGAAGAAAGAAGTGGAGAAGATGTCCGTGGTTGAGGAAAGCAGCAACACGATGGACGTCGAGGAGTTCGAGCCGATCCTTAGTGATGAAGATATTTTGGACGATGCGGAGAATTTCCAGGACGAGTACGATTACAACGGATATACCAACAACGACGATATAATTAAACTGTTTATACCTGGACAAACTCCGCTTCAACACTACAAGAGGAAGACCAGTTTCGAATTGGATAATGGCAACCTGGTTGTGGACGAGCATCTGAAGACGATAATTGGTATAGTGGACGATTTCTTTAAATCGAGCATTACGAAATACACCACCAAGGATTTCCAGAGGATGAATGGGCAGATCAAGGAAGAATTTGTGCATCTGTGCGAAAAAGTGATGCAAATGTTTGAAGGGAATTTTTGTGTAATCGCGCAAATGTACTCGGTCTGTGCAGGTGCTCGTGATGAGATATCGACGCAAGTGGAGTTCATCATCGATACATTGGTGAATTGGTTAAAAGTGGCGTTGGATTTCGACATGGCCAATGAGCAAGAACAACCTGGATACAAAATTAGGCACATCAAGTGCGGTGTTAAATTGGCCGAGTGGGTATCGAGCAGCGCAGATTTCCTGAAGGTCCTCTGGCGCAACAACGTCTACATCCATCAGAGCTTGATCAACTTGTACGAAAGCGAATTCATGGCGTTATCCATCAAACTGATGATCTTGAAAGCTCTAGACACTTATTTATTGAAGAAGGAATCGGTAGAAGTCTTCCTGTGCGGAAGATTCAGCGAAAACTCTGAATACTCATTTGAAAATTCCGTTGGATACAAGGTACTAATAAGCATGCTGGAGAAGAACCCATCCGTGCGGTTGAAATTTGCGCTCAATTCAATTCTGAAAAAAATGAATTGCTTTGAAGTGCTGGAGAGGACGAAAGAAGTCCTCAAGAATATTTGCGAACAGGAAACGTTGACGAAAGAGGATTCGGTTTTCTTGCAGGACAGCTTATCGTACGTATTGAACCTTATACAGGCGGGTTCCTTTTCAGTGTCACAGCCCAAACGGTTTTTGCCTGTAGTCACCCAATTCGAGATTAATCGCAACGAAAACGACGCTAATTTAGTAGAGTTATTCAGACGTCAACATTTGCTGGAAATGCTTCTACTTCTACTGACGCATTGCTCGACAATGATTTCCAGCAATATAAAAACTGTTGTCTACGAGATTCTGGCAGAACTGAGCCAAAGTTTAGATGGTTTGAAGTACATGAGCGAAAACGACGAAGTGATCAATGCATTGGTAAAAGTATTACTCGTTGGCGATGAAGAATTTCCGCTAGAATCGGATCTCAGATCGCACAATTTGGGATTGAAATTGGCCTACGAATTGCAAGCTCTGTGTCACGTTGATAATTTAAAACAATTTAAAGACTGCGAGTGCAACGAAGTCGTAGATCAGTTGCACGGTTTGTTTTGCCTGAGTTTCAACAACGTTGGAAAGTTAGCTGTCGGTAAAGTGTTGAGCTACGGCGACAACCTGTCTAATTTACTGCAATTTATCGATTTGAAATCGGAGGCGAAAATGAGGAAGTCGCCAGCCGTCGCATACATCATTGACTTGTTGAATCTGGTTATCGTTTGTTTTGGGGATATTCCTTTGTTAGAAAAGTATCGAAAGAAATTGTTAGATATTTCAGCGGCCAGTGAAATATTTGAAAAGCTAGGGGATATGACCAATTATTTGCGACCCTACGAGAACTTCAAAGGGTCGTACGACGTTGCTGAATTGGTCGATTGCATTTGCAAGCAGCAGGTAACTAATTTCTCAGGAATTTTGATTACTTGTTTAAGAATTCTCGAGCACATCGGTATATCGAAACATGATAACAAAACTCCACTGGAGAACCCTTTGAGCAACTTCAGCGAGCTGAAATACAAACACGTCATCCTGCAATTATATCCTTTGGATGGTGTAGGTTTACTTCTGAGGATTCTCGGTGAGCTGTGCGATTTCTATGAACAGCCCAGCTTGCATAATTCCACGTTCGTTTCTAGCCAAGGTATTTTGATCATAAACATCATAGAGCCGTGTATCAAGCTGCTGAAGCAGATGCTCACATACGTGATTCAGTGTAGGAATACGCATTTCAAAGACCTTACGGCCATTCAGATACTGTTGCAAACGTACAATTTGTGTCAGAGCTTCCCGGTGACGGCGCTCGGATTTCATAAATCTCGGAAACTGTGCCAAGAAATAGTGGATACTTTATTAGTGTATACTCAGCCGGTGTCCGAAGAAATTCACGAAAAGGATTCGTTGAATAAGACGCTGTGGACTCTCATGTGCGGCGAAGTGATTAAATTTACTATGTCTGCACCGTATGCATTTATAGCAGGTTTATCCGTTTTCTCCGAAATGTTGCCTCTACCACTGCCAGTGCAGACGAGCGAGGAATTGAGTGCAGAGGAAATTTCCTGGGCCGTTAATCTGAGGAAGCTCTGGTCTGCACATCTACATTCACATTCGTCCAGTATTCAAGATATGATTGCTAAACTGTGCACCACGACGTATCAACCTTTGCTGAATCTCCTGAGGAAAATCTGTGCGCAAATATCGGATCTGGCCGCAAATTCAGCGCTCATGATAGCCAGAGGAATTTTAGACAATGTGCACGGAGCTATAGTGTTGAACGATGATACAAAGAAGTTGGTATGTAACGGATACATAGCTAGGCTAATGAACTTTTTAGCCTGCTTAGTGACCCACGGTTCGTTGAAATGCACTTTCCTTCATCTGCTCGCGAATTCGAGCGGCGGAAAGGGCGATGAAAAATATCCAGCAATTATACTGGCGTTCGCACAGATTCTCCGGAGTACGAGTAATGTTAATTCGCACGTTCAGACTCAGGAGTGCATCTTGAGCATATTGCAGAGCTTCTGCGATACTGAAATCACTCTGTACCAGAACTCCACGTCGGATATTTACTTAGCCAATGCACTGCCAGTGAAAGATCACGTCTTGGTGTTTCTCAACACCATGTTGGAACATATCAGTGGAGAGAATTTATTTATAACGTATTTACCGGTTGTGAGGACGTTGCTACTGTTAACTGAACACGATTACGGTTTTTATCACTTGCGGGAAGTTCTTCTGAAGCGTCCGAACATCTTCCGCAATGTTTTGCAAAAGCTCGAACAAAATTTCTCCAAAGACAATGGGGAATGTCTGTCAACGCTGAACACTCTGGTAGAGTTTCTGCGTGTTTGTTCTGAACCCGAATTGGTAGAAGAAGGAATGGTAGTGCAACCCAGGACAATGAAAATGGATATCCAGGACATTCAGGCGCTGGTTGGCTGGGAGGATAATACCGAAAATCATCCGCTAATTAAATTGGAGGAGAAATTAAAAGTATGTATTGCTCGCTACTATGATAATATCAATTGATTGTAACAATGGATGTTGTTGTTGTTTAGGTTGAAGTGCAGGAAGATTCTACGTTCGAGGGCCTATTAGAATCTATCGAATTGATGCTAACTTATCTGCGCGTCAAGGGTGATTCTGAGGTAAAAGAGATTACTTACGTGGAACAGGTATTACCTTCTCCTGAGCCGCTATTGGCTCAATTCGCTGGACGTCCTATTTTCTCTACACGCGATTCGTTGGACGATCGTCTTACGGCATCCTATTGGTTGACACCGCTCGGTGTCGACGATCAGCTGCCGCAGGACGCTTGCGAACCGGATAACGTACGTTTGATCTGGTGGACGACTGCGGATCCTACATTGCCCGATGAATTTCAGGTGACCTGTGATTTGGCAGACGTGTGCAGGCAGGATCTGGCTTCCGAAGTCAATCTCATTAAACAGGTAGAGAAATTGTGTCGCGTCTGTCCATCGGAAAGCATCGAGCAAGTCGAAAAAGAAAAGCGAATTAACACGCAGAAGGACAAAATGAAAAGGCCTTTCGGTGAGTCAATATTCAAATCGAATATTTAACGATAGTTTTAACTTCGTTCGTTTGTAGTGACTCCTGTTAGGGGGCGTGGTTTCGCGCGTACTATTCAGGTGAGATCCGATCTGTTCCGATCGCGTCCACCGAACACGTCACGCCCACCTTCCCTGCACGTGGATGATTTCGTTGCCTTGGAGACTTGCGGAGCCCAACCCACGGGACCAACAGGATACAACAGAATCAGCAGGGAACTACTTGCTACTTCCCGCGTAGCCAGAGGACCCAGAGGTCGATCATTCATAGCTTCAGACAGAGCAGTCCAATACAGACAAATGTAAATAACAACTACCACTCGTTAATATTATTTCAAACTTAACTTTCTTCTTTTCTCAGGTCATGGTGGGGACCAGGCCGCGTACCCTATTAGTAAGTTCTTGTACGTTTTCAATCCTGTAGGAAAATGGAATTGTGATACGATTTATTTAAAGGGCTTGTTTCTTTTATTTTTCCTTAATTTTTTTTTTTACTGTTGAGACAATTTTTGATAGATATATATATATATACATAAAAATATAAATGATTTTAATTCTGGTTTCAATAAAAAAAAAACGAGCTTAAGTTTTGAAACTCATTTGACTTTATTCCATCTTTGCTTCCTTTTATAAGCGCATATTTTGTACAGTGTAAAAGCGGTTAGGGACGTTACGAATATGCATCCCATAATGCAGCTCGTCAACAGAATGTATGTGGCTGGTATAAAAACGGACAGTTGATCCCATGGTATTAATGGTAAGATTATTAGTTTCACCATGAGGGCTCCGATCAGGATGAAACTAAAGATCAGGCCTATCGCACCGATAGTCTTGTCATTCATCGTGGTACTCTTCCTCGAACTTCTTGAAGTCCTCTTCGGTGAACGCCGTCGTTTCCGGTTCCTTCGAGCGACTCTCCGATTTGAGAGGTCGTTTTCTTACAGCCCGTTCTAATATCTAACGAAATCGAAAGAGATACGTCAATTCACCACATATTGTTTACTAATTTAAAAAAAACGAACCTTTGAAGTGATCGATTCATCCAACTCTATCCTGCAAGTGTCTCTGATCAATCTCAATTTCTCCAAGTTCTCTTTCTTGATCTGCTCTTTGGTTTTCAACGTTTTCTTCAGCTCCGACACAGTCAACTTCTTTTCCGTTTGCAGCAAGTTCACTTTCCCAACTGAAATCGATTACCAATATAATTGCAAAATAACACAATTAAAACGAAATCGAAGCACTCACCTTTCCTTCCTTTGCGTACAATACTTCTGTTGAGTTTTTGGTTGTCCGGCATTAAATCGTGCACCTTTTTGTTTTTCTTGACTTTACCTAAAATAAACAAAATTGAATGATTTATGGAATATACTTTAGTGGGCTGAATTACCTGGTAACTGATTGAATGTATCGTCGACTAACGCCAAGCTTTGTCTTACAATCGCAGCCGACATATTTTAAAGGATACTCGAAGAAGTCTTTGTGGGGAATAAATGTGTTGTGAATGTTTTCATGTTTCCTTGAGGTTATGTTTGATTTATATGTCAGATGATGTTGCCAACTCAAGAACAAATTGTTTGTATTGCAACACCCTGTATTGCTGTGCGGGTAGCAGCGGGTAGTTCCAGTTAAGTGCAGGTAATGTTAGATGCCGATGCTCTAATAGTATCTAATTGGTTTTCTTAACGATTTAACCCTTTTTTAATTACCTGGTATTTAGTTCGCAATTTGTACGAGGTTGGCGCTTTGTCCGGAGGTAGAACAATTGTTTTTTTTTTCCCACACTGACGTTCGATTGTCAAAGTGCTACTGGGCTTCACGAAGAGTACTCAGCTGTCGGCTGCGTTAGTAAGTGCTGTAATTGCTCGTGTAGTGCAGGAACGGGGGAAAAAAATGGTAGATTGACGCCGCTATCATTGGTAAATATAGATATACAGAGAGAGAGATTGAGAGCAGCGAACAAGATTTAGTGCGCGCTCCGAATTTCTATCGAAGCAAGTGCGATGCGAGCGAATCCCGTGCCGTTAGTTGCAAAGTGGAGGATGACCGTTTGACGGCAGCATCGGAGTTGGTCTTGGTGCCAGGAGGAAGTACACAGCGGGGTCTGTCTTTCGGTCACCAACCACTTCCTGAAAGGAGCAGAGCACGGAGGAAGCCCTACGAAGCGGAAGCGTCTCGTGATCAGAGGGGGTTGCAGGCTATGCGGGCGGTCTTCCGGATCCAGTGAGCATGGAAACAATATGGAAAGTGATCAGTTGTTTTGTGGTCCTTCTGTCCCTGGAGCTGTGCTGCGGCCTGCCCATTGGCCAGGACCTTTCCTACCAAGGTAAACGAACATTCTAATCTTGCGAAACTTTCGTTCGTTCAAACGTTTCACCATCATCATCATCAGGAATTCTGTAATATCTTTGCCTGCCTGCAATTCCATCCCTCCGAACTAAATGGGTGTCCTCCTCAGTAGCAAAGGAATCTATCCAACCTATCCCGTTTCTGCAAATATTAACTTGCACGAGAGGGAGAACGTCGTCATTCTTATCGCGGTCATGTTCGACCTTATCGCAGCTTCCTGGTCGCCTAATGAGTAATAGCTCTTTGCCATTTCACGCAACAAGGAAACGTCGACACAGATTCGGAGAGGAAACAAAACGCAAGAAGCATTTGCGCCGTTTCTTTACTGCGTCTCCGCAAAATGAAAAACGCTATGCAAAATTCACGTTTCATGTGACTCACGAAATTTGCAAATAATCGCTTTGCCCCCCTTTTTGTTTTGTTATTATTATTATTATCGGGAAAATTTCAGAATCTACGAATAATATTATGCTATCAAGTTGGCGATTTCGTCATCGGCGACTTACTAAACCTGCAGAAAACGAAAGAGAAAGAGAGCGAGAGAGAGAGAGAGACTACGCTCGTACGTATTAAATGTTAAAGGTCAGGGATAATGAAATTAGATAACTTTATTAAAGGTTAGAAGAGAAAGACCGAAAATCGAAGTCGCTGTACGCGAATTCGCCTCTTGTTGTTTTGTTTCGTCGGAGCCGCCGCCTAAATCCCCAGTTGGCTCGGTCAATGCCAAATTTCGTTTTCGTTGAGAATCAATTATAATTCACTTTATTGGATGAAACTTGCATTCAAAAACATCATTAAAATATTAAAGTTCTTTGTTTTAAGTGTAACCGAATGCATAATTAATTAAAGCATTAAGTAACCACGACCTGAAGGTAGTTTATAGCCTTTCAAGAGAACCACCTCTTAGATAATATAAAAATCCAACTGGAAAGCTTTTACTGCGATGCATCAAGAAACAGCATCACTTCTATTTACATCTTAATATATGTAGAGAAACAACAATGTTTCTTTCTCATAAACTAACGCAAATCAAAGTTTTATATATCGATCATATTTTGAATTATCGATGTTGCAAACTTGTATCAGACCTCTGAATTTTGTTGAGGTCATAGCCGGGCTACGAAATTTGATGTGTGTTTCTTTTTTATCGGATCTGGTCTAAAACCCTAAAGTTTTGCTCAACATCAAACTTTTGATCTACGTCATTCGAATGTAAGCTGTGTCGTTCCACTCGTTTACTATATAATTGATGGAATGCAATATGCGGATTGAGGAAAGTCCACTTTCCGAAGACCGTGCAATAATAACGTTTCGTTAATTAATTCAAGGACAACGTTCGCGCTATAATTGCTTTTATATATAAATAAAAAGTTATATTGAATAATCGCGTGCGATTATTATTACACGGTTGCACCGAATTATGCATTAATAAATATAAAAAAATAATATGATTAATAAGCGTAATACGATTGCCGACCAATCTGTTCATTATATATGAATGTGCATTGGGGGGAAAATGTAATTATTTTTCGTATTTGAACCAATTTCGATGCAATTTCACATAATTAATCACAAATCTGATAGATTTAAAGTATAATAAATTAATTAATTTTGCGTTTTTTTTTGTAATAGCTAAAGTTTGTGGTGTGCGTGCGGTAACGAAAGTAAATTGACGTCGAATTAATAACGATTTCGCAGTGTGTTTTCTTTTTGTTACAAGAGTTATAATAGTAATTACGTGAATCGAAAAAGTTTGTTGCGCGCCTTCAGAAGTTGTTCTTCGGATGATGGAAGGGAGTGGATGTGAAATATTAGCATTTCCAATATTGACAAAGTCACCGAATCCAATTTCATATTGATTACTAACTACAGTTTGTCTCGGGAGGAGTGGAACTTGGGGAGTGGAAGAGGCAATCCGTAAAGAGGGTTGTTAACTTCTCTTCTCTTCTACAGTTAGTTTTTTTTTCCTTTCCTTCCTTCCTTCTTAGGTTTCCATTTGCCTTATGCCACCCCTCCTCAATATGGCATGAATTGAATCGCTGCGTGTCGCCGTCGTCACGCCATGTTCTCTATCCAAGAACAAAAAAAAATGTACATCCATTGACGTAATCGGTCGCCTTATGTCATTGTTTTTAATGTTTATTTACTTGGAATCATCGATTACTTTTATTGCACAACGATAATATTTATTTGCATGTTACTTTTCAACTTTGGAAACGACGATCGTTCGACCAGTTTATCAATCAAATTAGTTTTGTTTACAATCGCTATCATGTTCTCATTTTCATTGCGAACGAATGTGTGTTTATTTGCGTATTTCGACGTGTAAATAATTGCAGTTTTAATCATCCAAAATGCATATCGAGTGTTGTTTTGGACGAAGTTTTGTAAATATTCATGAGCGTTATGTTACGTGGAGAAGCGAACTCGAAATTGTGTAATCCGAGCGAACGAAAGATTCATTTGGCGGCGGTAGCAGGAAGTTGACCGAACTTTCTACGTAATCCTCAAAAGAGATTTCTGTTTCTCGCCTTTTCAATTCAACAACAGCCGTTACGCAAATTTAAACGTGTTTTTTTTTACGGATTCCGAACGTTTTGATCTATACATTTGCATGAAAGCAACGAATTCGCTCCGATTACAGCGAAATCAGGAATTCAAGGTGTGCAAACTTCGCGTAAGATAATGTTTGTTTACCTTTTCGTTTCTCTCTCTCTATCTGAATGGAATTTTGTAAAAAAATTTATTGTTAATTTCGGTTAATGCATTGTCTTGAATTAAATTCGGGGAATTCCAGATGGGAGGAAAACGCATCATCCGCATAACTCAGCGGCGGAGAGTTGCAGAAATGTGTGCTGCTACACAACAATGGGTTTCTGCAATGTTACGGTTGTTAGATGCAACTCATAAACGAAACTTTTAAATAATTCGTCTCTTTGCGTAACCTTCCGGAGGACCGCTTTACATTCTTATGTAAATCGCTTTGCAAATTGCGCAGTTCCGTACGAACACTTTGTTCTAACAGTTTTCTTTTCGCCAAGATTTTGATGGATGATCTCGGATTAATAAGGAAAATGGAAAGTTGTTACCGAGTTATCAATGGTGAGAAACGAGGATATTTAATGAATGGAAATCGTCCGATAATGAAGTAAACTGCGTGAATAATTTATGGGCGAACGTATGCACATCGAGATGTGTTCAACATGTGCATACGTACGCGAGATTTGCGCCTCATTGAATCGCGAATTCCGTTACAGAGTTTATGCACGTACCGTCGTCCGTCATATGCATGCAAACTACAACAACTAATAATAATAATATTATAATAAATCACTGCAATTTGAGCGCAGCAATAATAACTCTATGTGCACGCGTAAATTCGATACTTTTCTTTTTTTAATAAATACGTTAATGGGATAACATTATCGCGTTGCAATTGCCACGTTAATGGTTCGTAAATTTAGCTATTGATCGCGCAGAAAATTGTCCTTGAGGCAAGTGCTGATGCTGTTCCAGGTGTTATGGGAGAAGAGCATGAATAATGCAGTTCTCTTCTGCCATTGCATCTGTAACAGATGCTCGGAAAAGTAGTGTCTGTTCGAAACAGATAGTTTGTAGGATAATTGGTAATCTCTGCCGGACGAACGGTGATTCAATTAATCGATTAACGATGATGAAATGTTCGACCTTTGGTTACCTATTCTAGTTGAGATGCATCCGGTTTAAGCGCCGCCGCCGCCTCGCGTATTTTGGCATCGGTTCAATTGGACATCATCATCATCATTGTTGCAACAATCGGGGGAGAGGTAACAATGCCTTTGCGTGCGCGATCGAACACGTCGGGACGCGCTCCGTTATGCAACGATCAAATTTGAAAACTATTCCAAAAACTCGCTTCGATCGACCACCGTCTTATCATGTGTGGTTTCGAATGGAAAGTTCACATAACTCAACCTTGTGACTCCAAAAAAAAAAAACTATCGAGCAAGGCCGTATTGTTTTTACTTACTTAATTAATTAATTTCATAAAGATTTATACCAATTATAATTCGTCACTGTTTTTGGGTGATTTCCGTGATACGTCATTTCACCAAAAAAGGAAATCTAACGTAGGCTAATCAATACTTCAATTACATTATAAAATTATATTGCGAAATTCACATTTGTCAACTTACAAGTACTTATGTAAATATTAAATCTAGAAATTTAATGATTCAATTACTCAAAATAATTAATATTAATAAAGATTGCGTTGCATTTCCAGAAAAAAAAAAACAAAGCAGTTGTTAAACCCCAAGCGAGGTCACAGTCAAGGTTTCCTAGGTGATGAATTTTCATCTAATGTTTATTTTTAGGCGCGGACGTAATCGAAATTTCGAAGATTCGCCTGTCATTCGTTTTTGATCTTGTTATATATATACAACGCCAACTCACAATTTCGTTAAAATATCGTAAAAATTTGAGTCTCAGTTTTATTATATAGCATAACTTTGAGTATTTTATACTTAGTTTTAAACAACATTACATGGTGTTTTTATTGCATAAATTTATTCAATTTTATTGGATCGTAGTTAGCATATTTTTTTTTGACGTTTACCTGTCATAATACTTATTTATAGCAGAATTTCCAATAAGCAATTGGTCGTTGTTTCTTTACGATCACCATCATCATCGCCTCCAAAAGCATCGACGTTTTTTTCTCTCTCTTCTCTTGCATGCAAACAAGGTTGTACAAGCTTCATAATACTTATTTATAGAGCAATTGTCGCAAATACTTTTGTTTCGTGTTTCTTGATCTGTTTTTTGTTTGTTTGTTGTTGTTTTGTTTTGTTTGGTCTGATCAAAACGCGTTGTGTAACGTTTATGGAAAAAGCAGAGCGAAATGTATATAGGTGGCTTTAACAACAACATTCACTGAGTCACTCGCTCGCCTCTCCGTCTGTCTCTTCGACTCTACCAAATAAAGGAAAACGCGAAAGCGAAACTCGGAAATTATCCAAATTGCTCGAAAATAATAAAAGGAGAGTAATAGGAATACACGCTAAAAGAATCGCGTAAAAGAATGAATTGAATTTTCACTTTCGAGTAATTGCCGTTTGATACAATTCTTGTTTTTGGACTGTTTGAATGTTTGTAGACTTTCTATATTTTATGTTGAAATAACGTAATGTAACGGCTATTGTTATGAATTTCGTGCAGGTCAAGGGCTTCTTTATGTTTGTGGAAAACGGGAGATTAATTAAACGTTAAGTACACGTATACAATGGATGTTGTATATAAATTATTCATCGAGGGAAGAAACATGCCATCCGAGGTGTTTCATTTCTGTTGTTGTATTTATATTAAGTATTGTTTGGGAAGATTCTACAATTGAGAAATTCATAATTAAAGTCCCGTGGGAAGAAGGAATGAAGGAAGGAGGGTTTAAAATTGGATTTGCGAGTGGAGAATGCCGACGTAATAATTACGTTTGTCGAGCTGTGTGCACCCGAAGACGCGCTGCCTATTGCACTAATTAATGATGTCGACTGGGGAAAGTAGAAATTGCTTGATGATGATTGAAGGTTATTAAAGAAAGATAAAAATTATATATATGGATGTAAAAGCAAAGGTGGAAAATGTAAGGAAAATTGGAGTGAAACTTGGCGTGACGTTCGGAATTGCGCTACAACCCATATGAGGGGAGATCGATTATACAAAAGCTGTTTAGCTTCACAGTTATATTCACGTCAACTTTCTCGGTTCATTCATCCTCGTTTTATTTATTCATCTATTACATCTTATGCAATTGCTAGTAATGAAAAAAAAAAACGATTAAAACCGTGTTTGAGTTTCCAATGCAGTTCTGATTTGAGAAGAGCGTAAAGAAATGTTGATTTAGGAAGGTTCGAATTCGTTGAGTCAACTTTGCATGGCGTTACCATAGTAATCTTGTAATCGATAGTCAATTAGAAGATGAAACCACCTAACAAATACACACACGCACACATTTATTTGTAAACGATTAAAGTGAGTTAAATTTGTTATTGGAATACTTCATTACGCGTTGATCCCGGTAGGCGCGCATATCCAATATCAAATGTTTATTTTTCGTTGTTTCTACACGTAACCAAGGAAACCTTTTTATCTATGCAAGCGGGGTTCGGTAAGTGATGCCTGCCTGTGCGACATTTCCTGCACCCGGGCTGCGACCGACCGGAAATGACTTCTTGTATTCCATTCACCACTTAATATTTCGATAGCGCGAGTCTCGCGTAATTGTCTTTCGTTGCGTTGCGTTTGCGCTTCCTAAACTGTTGAATAAAATATATGTTCCCTGTTCCTGTACCTTCCCACGTATAATTAACCTTCTTCGTAACTGTAAAAAGCACATACTTAAACGTATTTAAACAGACAACCTTTTGTTCTGTTCCATTTGTTTCTACGAATTTGATGAACTCTTTTATGCATTGTTGAAACGAATCAAAGTGAATTATATGCAAACGCATTTCGAAACGTAATTAGCCGCTGCAGGGATTTGCATAATTTCTAATTATCGTTAATGCTCGGAGCTCGAGCTAATCGATGTTTTGCAAATCGCGTGTCGCTGACTATTATACATTTATATACATACTGATATCGTTTTATTCTTGTTTCTGTTGCAGATGAACATACGCAATTAGTAACTGGATTGATAGCAGTTCTTTTGATCGTTTGCGGGGTCGTCTGTCTGGCCGGTTGTCTCTGCTGTCAGAGGAGGAATGGCTTCAAGGTACGAATCGACACATTTACAATCAGCAATAAGTTGGAAATTACCAATTACCAAGTTTAGGTTTTCAACTTCTCTCAGTTGTTGTTACCTTTTGGTGAGTGTGTGTGTGTGATGTCGACCTGACCTTGACCAAGCGACCGACGTTCGGTTAATATTGCATGCGTTCATGAATTTCAAATTCACCTTTCAGTTTTCTTTTGTGTGAAAACATACAAGATGCGTCATCGTTAACTTTATTCACCTTGCGAATACTCTTGATTCCAAAAGTGGTCTATCGTCAGATCATCATCATCTGTGTTTATACGTTTCTAATCATTTACTTGACAAGTCAAGAAATTAGATATTTTGAATGAATGTTATTAGAATTCTCAATCTAATTCAGACAATGAATTTTCGATTAATGACAAACTTGTGAGGGAATTAATTAAATGTTTGTCATTGTTGGTGAGTGGATTAAATCAACTGGATGAAAAGGTGTTGACTTTGTAGTTAAAGTCAAGTTTGTTTGAGCTGTGAGAAATAATAAAGTCAGTGGATGGATCCTATTGTATGTTAAAATCCGAAGCACTCTCGAGGGTCTTTCGGAAGCCCTTCTGGGAGATGCTGCATGAAGAGGTTTACATGACGAAGTGTTAGTCATCCGTCTATCCATCGTAGCCTGTTGATAAATATTGTAGCGAGGAGGAAATATGAAACGCCGCCCGTTCCCATTTGAACGCAGCAACAGCAGCAGCTTCCGATCTCAGATAACGAGGCTTCCTCTCTTCTGTATCAGAGCTGAGCGATACGGGTTAGAAGAGGGTCTTCTCTTCGTGAATCAGCACAGAGGTATTTCGCCTGTCGTCAAATAATAATATGTCGACACTCTCTCTCTATCTCTCTTTGTGCAAAGCAGACCCCGGGACGTTGGCCCCTTGTAGCCGGTTGCCAATTTATCTCCTGTTTTGAAATACCGCTTCTGCTGCTGTTGCTGCCGCCGCCCCCGCTGCAACAGTGATTCAATAATGTCACAAACAGCGACTCTGCTCAATGGATTTCCTAATTAAGTTATTCCCCCCCTTTTCGCGTCAATTGATTCGAACGAACCCCACGTCGCTTAATCTTTCTCACGAGATGATCCTTCATTACCATCATCGCGACACAAGACTCATCCTCTGCATTCTCTGCTATTCATAACACTGACATTCTTATAACATAACAAAAAAAGAAGATATTTCAATACATACATTCAACAATCAATTGACTGACTACAAACAAGTAAATCCTAATATTAATTTGCGAAAATTGTAGGAATTTAGATAAAAATTGTGATTCATGAATCAAAAAATAAGTTTTATTGATAAAATTACTTATGGAATGACTGCATTTAATTTGCGGTTTTGGAATGACGTTTTGACTGAACACGAGTAGGGATTTGCGAGATCCTAATATTCATTGTATGCTCTCGAATCGGAATTGCAAAGAAGTGCGAACTTCTGAAAGGAAGGGAAAAATCCCAAGAGCGAAGAAAAAAGCGTTGGTGGAGCGGGCGGTTTTTCCCTTTGTATCTGAGGTTGCTTCTCTTCTGTGTGTGCGTTTGAGTGTGCGGAATCGATTTTTGCGAGCCATTCATCCTCCACCCAGGTTCAGCCACCCCTCGACCTCTCTCTAATTGCGCGAATTAGAGATTCGCCACCACGCTCCTTCCTTGTATCAGCATCATCATCATCATGATCAACATTTCGCAACATTTCTCCTCCTCTCTAAGACATAACACCTTCCAATTTCACATGCAGCGAAAAGTAGGAGTGTCGCGACTACTTTCATTTTCCGCCTCCTTCTCCTTCTCTCAGACCGTAATTTGCTTCAAGGATATTTCACCTTTACAAATATACACACACACACACTCCTGAATACACTTCTTTTTTTTGATATTTCCTTTCCTCGCCTTCTTTTTTCCTTCTGTTGTTGCAAATGATGACACAACGAGGATTATTTTTAGCGTGGCGCTCTATTGATCGAACGGAAAGCATCATCTTTCATCCTGCCGACGAATCTTAAATACAAATAGGGATGGAAATCTTTATGTACAGCTTAAGCAAATCAAAGTGATTCGATTCGTTACGATCTGGTCAAGAATTCGCATCCTTTGGTGTGTGTGCGAATGATATATATTATTGGGTATAGATTAAAAATAGCTGAAGCCGCCTTTCGACGTCTTCGGTTTCAATTGGAAGAGCGACCGTGTTGTTACATCACCTTGGGAGACTGTTAAACGCGACTGTGACTCATTCGCGACTTGCATTGAATGCTCTTTTTTTGTGTGTGTGCGCGAATGCAATGGGAACGCTCAATGATGTTAATCATTGCAGATCGTCGTCGTCTGTACCAGGCCTAATATTTATTAACAATAACGGCGAGCGATGATAACTAAACGAACCAACTAAAACACTAATCGTTTCTTTTTTCTCTCTTTCTTCCTCTTTCAAACGCACGCTGCTGCTGCTTACCAGGAGGAGGACAGCAAGGTAAAGTAGTCATTAGCATGTCGCTCCTTTAATTGCTCGCTTTGTAGTTTTGTTCTTGTTTTTTCTTTATTTATTTTAAAAAAAATATATATTTATGTGCATGCTTATTAAAATAATTAACTGCTCGTGAAAACAGGTTAATGGATTCGACTTCTGTAGAGACATTTATTTTAACGATTCCTTTACTCTCTAATAGTTCCCAACCAGTGTGGTCCATTTTTCTCTATAGACGACAATCTAGGAATATTCATGACTAATTAGACTTGCTTATACACTAGACTTGCGGATAATTACAATTACTAGTGGTAATCCCAGGCAATTACAATCGATTGCGGCAACTGCAAACAAAGTGAATATCCTGCAAGTTTCCAACAATTCGTTAATTTCTCAGAAACTCTTGATTGCCAATTGCATCTTAAGTGCGTTTTCGCCTAAAACTTTGTACTTAGCTATGGAACGAGCTGTATTTAAATACACAGTTCAGTTTAGATTTTGAATAAATGCCAATTTTCGCTGCATCCAGTCGTGCCGAGCAAAGCAGATTTAGTGCATGTTTTGAGTGCGAAACTTGCACACACACACACACAAACAGCTATTTTTAGGTTTTCGGCAAGCGTTTGCCGTTTCTGCGTGGAAACAATGCGATGTAAAATGTGTGCAATTTCTGCATGCATTCAAATAATTCGACGATTAATTGATGTACCGAAATTGTAAATTTGTTGCTTGCAAACAATTAGTGAAGCAATTTATAGCCTTTGAATTATGTCAGCTACTCGATCAATAGTAGTTGCCAAGTAACTTACATTAATAGATCTATGTAATTAACGAAAACAAACTATGGTAGTCATGGAGATTTGGTACATCCTTTAATTTGTTACCTGGCGCCTACTCGTTGCCATTGCAATGGTTGCAATCAATTACCGTAGTAACCATCAGTTAAACAAACAGTATATGTGAATGATCCTACGGTGTTTCTTTTTGTTGTTGTTGTTGCTGTAAAGGAGTTCCGAGATAGTCCGGTGGTTGTGTCGGTGGCGAGCCAACTGGACCATGGTCACGTAAATCCCATAGCGAACGGGGAATTCACGATCTTCACGCCGTTATCGACGACGGCATCGCCATCATCCCCGCCGAACAGCAGCAACGTTTTCTCCGCTCACCAGCAAATTATCGTAAGTACCTTTCGGAGAAAATGCGGAGAGGTGAAAGAACGAGAAAGAAAAAGTAATTATGTACGTTTTCTAATCTGTGATCTTCTCAAAACCATTCCAGAGCCGAGCGCAGGAGGACTACAAGGACGGCGATATCGATGTCAGCGATTGGTATGGTGAGTACAACAACATCCTCTTCTATAATTTTATATATTAAGCGCATTAAATCATTCCACCAATCATTTTATAATTTTTTCATTTTTATTATTATTGATTCGCTTTATCGAAATTCCTGGAATTGCAAATTTTGGAAAAGCGCATGCTTTCACCAAAAACACTAAACGGGGAATTTCTTTGATCTATCGATTCGTGGAAACTGTTTTGTTATTGAAAGTGCGAACGAAATACTCCTTTTGTTCTACGATCCATTTTTCGACCAAACATTGTTTGTTTGTTTAAAACGTTCGGCGTGATCTAATTTATTTGGAGCGATTTCAATTTCCTGTCGGATGTTTGATTCATTGCAACGTTTTGCACGACTTCCTGCTGATTACAAATCCGCAGGGGGTTACGTTTCAATCCAGCCACGAATCGATAGGCGGACGTTTTGCACCAGCGTTTCCCATACTTTTGTTGTTGTTTTCAGCTATGCCATCACGCTAGCTTGCTAATATTATACTATATGAAATACCCGGTGCATCCACCCTAAATATTGCATCTCACACACACAATAACATCCAAATTAAATATGTTACTGCGATGGGTGTAATAAAAAGTTTACAATTCATTTTTTTTTTCATTTAGAAAGAGTCTTATAATTTAATGAATATTTTCAACGTCTGGCCTTATGGTAACCATCTGACTCTTACGTTTTACGAGTAGTTGTATAAGACGTCATAAAAGTATCGGAAGAGATTGCTGGGGGCATTTGGGAAAACTTCTCTTTCTTAGTATAAAAATACGCGCTACTACGTGATGTATTTATTTGTTCTTTTTATTGTTGTATCATTTAGGGAGTGGAAATGTAGATTTTCCCCGGGCGAAATTGAAGTACATCCGGGAAGTGGGCAGAGGTTGGTTCGGAAGGGTAAGCATTTCTGCTTCGTTAATGCATCGATTCATCATGATTTTGTAACTGACGTAGGTGGTGGAAGGAACAGCGCAAGGTGTGCTGTCCTCTGCGGACGAATCTGCTTGGAGTCCAGTTGTGGTCAGGATCCTGGAGGCGACGGCTACGAACAGACAGAGGATCATCTTCCTGCACGACGCGTCCATTTATAAATGTCCGTCGCATCCGAACATTCTGAGATTGCTTGGCAGGAGTTTGGAGAATGTGCCGTTGCTGTTGTTGCAGGAGCACTGCGAGAACGTAAATCCATTCATCCATCATAAGCAACGGTCCGTTTTAATGTTTTGTTTTTCATTTGTGCCGTTTTAAAGGGCGATCTAAAGGCGTACCTCAGAGCCCAGCAACAGTCCGTGGATCAATTCTTGACCGGAAAGTTGCCTCTGCTGTGGTGCAAGCAGCTCACTTCAGCCGTGAGACACCTGCACGAACACGACCTAATCCATCCGTAAGATATTAAGGCTTCCTCCGTCGCTTTTCTCTAATTCCCCCCCCCCCTTTTTTTTTCGTTCTCTCCTTTATAGGGATTTGGCGGCGAGGAACTGCAGGCTAACGCATGATTTAACCTTGAGACTAGGCGACTACGGCTGCGGAGCGAACGACTACCCGGAGGATTATTACAACGGATCCGAGAATGTTCCGGTACGTTGGTGCGCACCGGAATGTGTAACTTGCACCTCGACGACCATCCAAACCAGAAAGGTATGTTACCGTTACGAAGAAAGAAACTATTATTTCTTGTCGTTCATGTTTGTTCATCTTCGCCTCTGTAGGTCACGCGAGCTGGCAACGTCTGGTCATTGGGGATATGCTTCTGGGAAATCGAGGAATGCGCGAAGCAACCTTACGGCAATCTCACTGACGATGAGGTCGTCTCCCAGGTCTTCGGATCCGCCAGAGTTCGACTGTCTAAACCAAACTGCATCGCGTCGCATGCGGATCATCTGTAATTAATTCTAACACAATTCTCTTTAACGTTTTATGTATTGTTGACATGCAATTTTAATTGATTTATAGATATCATTTGATGCAATTGTGTTGGGCCGTGCCGGAGTCGAGGCCGACTGCGAACCAAATCGAAGACATGCTCGAGAATATCGACTCGAACGACTTCAATAGTCGATGGGATCAAATGAAACCGAACATAATCATACGAGGGGTCGACGACGAAAACGATCTCACTAACATCACCGTCCTAAACATGGGCCTGAACACCGACGACGATAGTCAGGATGGAAAATATTTATCTGCTAGTATGCATAACTTGGCCGGTTCTCTGGACAACCTTCTGGATGGTAACAAGAGCTTGGATTCCTGGGCGGAGGAGGACGAGGAGCATACCAAATTGCATTTCGAGTTGGGACCATTGCAGAAGATACAGAGCAGCGGTAGCGAAACCGAAGACGAGAACTGGAAGAGGAAAATCGAGCTCGGTCTGTATACGGAGAAGGTGCGCCAGAAGTCGCGATCCGTCGCCGATTTGATGATCTTGACGCACATAGATTGCTCGGAGAGCGATTCGGAAACGCCGCTGCCCAGTTTGGGATACAAGAATGTGCGTTGTCACAATCTGGAGAACCCGAGCCAGATCTACGGGAGCGAGGGGAACTTGCTAAACGTCCACACGACGTTCGAGGAAGAATTAAAGAAGCTGAAGGAGGACAGAAGAGACAGTCTACTTTTCGTACCTGATAAAATCGAGTTACCTACATCCACCGGCGGCGGTGGCGTTTACGATTCTCCGGAGAGCCGAAGACTGCTGGAAGATCTGAACGGCACGTCCACACTGGAACCGCAGACGCAGTTTTTCAACGTCTACAACGTCGTTGCGATAAGCCCAATGTACAGTCCCATCCGGATGAACTACAACAACGACCATTCGTCCTCCCCCTTGCCCGACGTCGTCCTCAACGCTATCCCCTCGAAGATACCCAAGCTCTCCGAGATCATCGAGAACAACATTGCTGTGAACCCGGATTCGAAACAAGTGTACAAATTAAGTGAGGATTTAGTGAACAAGGATAGTAATAGTGAAACTAGTGAATTTACGGATGTGAGCGACAGTGACGATGCTGTGGTCGAGGCCAAGAACGAGATACTCATCACCCTGAAGGATCTGCCCAAGAAGTCGAACGGTGAAAATGGCGATGTTATGCACACGGAGACGATTTCGATACCAAAAATATGCGAAAGTTTCATAACCGAGGCTATAAATCACGAACTCTTGAACGCCGAGAAGATCGCGCAGGAACTATCATCAATGGAACTAATGTCGTCGCGTAAAAACGGAGATAGCAAGTATCCAATAGAAATCATCAAGGAAGAGGCGAGTCGATATAAATTAAGCGAAGACGAAGAGGATTCTGAGAATAGTACAAATGAAAATTGTCTGGAATGCTTGGAAATTATGAACAATGAGGAGGACTCTACAGATCTTTATCTGCAAGAAGAGCGATCAATGTCGAGTGAGATTGATTATTTGGAGGAGCAACTGCAGTTGAGCGAACTCCTCAACCGTGAACAGATTGAATCAGTTTCAAATGATGTTGAACCGATGATCGGAATTCAGCAATTTACCACCGATGATGAAGTTGAAACAGACGAGGATGAAGATGAAACGGACGAATCAGATGAAGATGATACAGATTTGAGTGACGCTGAGGAGGAAGTACGACAATTGGCTGAAGTATTCGTTAAAGACATTATCGAATTAGCCAGCGATATTAGTGTACAGCGTAAAGAAGAATCAGTGCTTCCCATCACTAATAATTTCAGTGAGAACATAAACATTGAGTCGGTCGAGAGAATGAACAATGGTTATAATATTCAAAAAGGTCTCGACAATCCGACGAGCAATGATGCATTCGATCAAGCCTACAAAACTTACTTTATTAACTTGACGGACGACGATAAACTGTATAACATAGATACGGAAGAAGTTAAAGATACAGAGAAACAAGATACAGCCTCGTACAATCAGAGCATCAAGAAGGTTGAAAATGTAGAGAATAACATGAACACTATCGTATTTTCAAAAGAAAAGCATCCGATCAGTCGTGAAAATAGCCGAGTAGATGATCTGACCAATGATATGCAACTGTTGCAGATGTGCTGGAACACGAAGATAGTGGACAGCAAAGATGATGTTATCGCGGAGGAAACATCAAGAAATGATAAAAAACACGAAATTAACTTTGACGACTGTCAGGTTCCAATAAGAATGTTGAATAAGGATGCAAACGGAGAAATTCAATACAATTATACTACTGTTCCATTGGTGTGGCCAGATTTAGAGAAAGAACGTATTAAGCAAATGTTGGAAACTCGTGAAAAGATTGCGAAAAATGATGAAGAGATTCTAAAAACTGATGAGGTTATTATGAAAAGTGAAGAAGAACTTATGGTGGCCAAAGAAGAAATTACGAAAAACGATGAAGCGATTACGAAAACGAATGGAGACATCAAGAAATTCGATGTTGAAATTATACAAAATCAAGTAGACATGAAAGTTTTCGAAGAAATCATGAAGATTGAAGACAATGTCATAAAAGAAAATGAAGAACTTGCGAAAGGTCAAGAAGAGATTGTGAACAGTGAAAAAAATATACTAAAAATTGAAGAAGAATTTATGAGAGCTACAGAAGAATTTTTGAAAAACGATGAAGAAATTGTGAAAACATGTGAAGAAATCACAAAAAGTGAGGAAGACATTATGAAGACGTCTGTTGAAATCATCAAGTTTGAAGCTGATATTGCAAAAGCAGAGAACGAAATTGTAGTAATTGATGAAGATATTAAAATTAAAATAGATGAAGAACTTGTGAATGAACAAAAATGTATTACAGACAGTGAAAAGATTGTTTTGAAAAACGAAGAAGAAGAAATTTTGAAAAATAATAAAATTGGAAGAACTTGTGAAGAAGTAAAGAAATTTGATTTGGAATTTACAAAGGAAGAGGACGAAAATATACAGAATGAAACATACATAACATCAAATGAAGAAATGGGAGAGAAAGTTACTGAATTGAATGAGGAAATTGTGAAAGGTCAAGAAGATACTCAACTGATTGAAGGAGCAATAGAGGATGAGATTGTATCGCCAGATGAAAATGTTTTAATTGTTGATGAGGAGGAACCAGGAGAAACTAGTGTAAACGATAATAGTTGCATAGTCTATCATAATACGATTAATCAGACGCAGGACTTTTTAACGAACGAAATCTCCAATTACATTTGCGATGGTACACCGAAGAAGAACAGCGTAAATTTCGATCTGAGCAATTCTCAGGAGGAAATCAAGAATTCTCAGTTTATGTTTTTGAAGTCGAGCACACCGTATAAACGGGACGGAGGAGCGTCCACTGTAATTTTAGGAGCTTCCGATGACTTCTCTATTGATTACTATAATGGTCTGAAGACGACAACTGTTGCGGCGAGTCCGACTCAAGACGACTCGACTTTCGTTCACCGCAAGAATGATCACCTGAAGTATTCCTTGGAGACGTGGGATAATTTCTTGGGGAAGAGTTTCGATGAGCAACAGGATAGGTATACAAGTGACGAACCTCAGAGTTTGCTGTTTTTGGATGATTCCATTAAATCCTTGCCGTGCGACGAAACTTATGCGGCGGCGGCGGCTAAAACTTACACGAATCTGAACGATACGCCCGTTGAATTAGATGATATTAATTTCGAGGTCGATGACGGAGAAGAGGAAGAGAAAAGTACTTATGACAACTGGGACGGAGGAGCTTCGGGAGGATGGTTCTTGCATCCACAAACCAACGGGGATGACTTGACAGGACAATTGGAGATACCACAGGACGACAGTTACGTTCGCTTCAGCATGGACGACGAAGTGATGGCTGCAATAAGGAATGAACTTTTGACCAAACTACCTCAAGCCCAAGTAAGTTTTATAGCGAGCATATAGTTTAGTAACTGTTCGAATTTAATACGTTTGCTTGTTGAATCGTCGCAGAGAAGTGCAGTAGATTTAAAAATGGATGATGTTGGGGAATACGAGACAACGGACAGGAACGAAGTGTTCATCAAGTACAACGTCTATAATACTCCTTTATCGCCGATCCCAGAGGAATCTCACAGCGAGCTGCTGCATTCTGGCCAAAGCACTCCGCATTGGTAATGTCTCAATGAAAAATTTATTATTTATTCAGTTCTCCCTAAAGATTATGTGAAAGTAATAAAAGAGTAATGTTGTTTGTTTTTGTAGTACAATTAACACTGATTTGGATGACAGTGATAGTAATGATAGCGATTGGTCGGAGGCCGGATCGACTGGACAACATTCTCTCATCGAGGATGAATGCGAAAGTCCGAGATTGTCTCCAAGCAGTACGAATAAGGAGGGAGTGAATAATCTGCAGCACAGACACACACCTAGTCAAGAGTCGTGCTGCTCCAATGACACTCTCTTCAATCTGGAGGAATTGCAGTGCATCGAGGAGGGCGCCAAGAAGAACAACAATATTATTACGGAGCCGGAAACCGTAAATACTACGTTCTGCGTAGATAAAACTTGTGATACAGTTGAAAAGGAGGAATCGATAGAAGTTGAAGACGCTGCTCAAAAAGCCGATGATCTTGAAGTTGTTGTTGACCCAGTGGAAGACTTACCACAGCAACCGGACTTTGTTTTGAAGGTTGACAATACGAATTGCGCGGAGGCTTTGACTTCTCTGCCGGTAGAATCGTCGAGCAGTTCAGAAACTTATTTAACTGTAAGCGATTCGTTGTGCTACACTCTGCAGAACGTGGCCCCTCTGAATTCCCCTGAAGATAGGCCTTGGAAGCACATAGAAGCTTCTCTGTCGAATGCGGCGAGTTGCGATGAGGAGGATCAAATCAAACCCAATCAAGACAATTTGTACGAGAACGTCGATGATACCACCAACAAGAATAATCTTCTGGTCCAGCAAACGGAAATATACGATTACATTGAAAAAGCGCCGTCTTATGTAAACGATGTCGTCGCGAAAGAAGACGTCGACACCGTCAATCCATCTACATACGTTAACTGCGGTAATAATCAGGAGGGTTACGTGAACTGTCCAGAAACGGAGAACGTTTACGACGGCGTTTACGAACCGGTTTACGATTACTGCCCATTGGCGGATATCCGATTCACAGGACCGTCGGATTCCCAAATGATGACCACCTCGTTCAGCGACAGCGCAGATCTAGCCGACGAGCGCGATTGGGACAGCGGCTCCGATACCAGAAGCAGCTCGAGTGGTGAATTCATCTGGAAGGTACGCTATAAATTGTAATGTTGTCGAACGAGCAGCGCACTGTACGTTTCCATTTTGTAGGAGGGAAGTCACGAGGCTTCAGTGAAAGCCTTGCACGCAGCTCCGCAAGATGTAATTAGTTTTATACGCAGTTAAAATAATGTCTGATTTTGGCACGTTTCGCTTGTAGAACACACGGGAGGATTTAGAGAAGCCCGATTTAGAGGATTCGAGCAGTTGCGGCAGCGAAGAGGACGGCGATGGACCGGAATTCGTACCGTCCGCTTGGGATAAGTACGCTACGCCCACGAAATCCGCGCTTCGGTCGCCGGAGAAGACTCTGGAGAGATCCAAAGGTCGTGGGGTGTCCTTCAAGAAGCAGAAGTACCATTGCGTGTACGAGTATCCAAGGGAACCCGACAGTCCGGTCATCCAGAGCTACGACATTTGGACGACGCCGAAGTATCCCGAGGGTAAATAGATTATCGAATGCCGTTTCAGTTTTGCATGTTTTTTATTTGTTGTTTTTTCTTTTTTTTGGTTTTGTTTTATTGGTAAAGTTGATTGGGAATTAGAGACATTTATGAACCGCACTGACACTAAAACATCATCACCATCAACAACAGCATCCACCACCACCACTACTACTACTACACAGAATCTGTATCAGACTTCGAATGTACCCGATTTTATTGGTACGTGCGTTTAGAATGTTGCGCTTAGAATGTAGCGTTTGATGTTTTGATACTCTCTTGCAGGTTCTTCGATGCTGGAAGATGATTTTTATATAAGCTCTTCGGCGAAGCCGTTCGATGTTTTCGGGAATAACTGCCAGTTTTTTCCAGGGAAGGATGGCAGCTGCGAGTGGGGAGATTTGATCAAGAGCGTCGACAACGTGACGCCGGACAGCGGAGCCGAAGACGTGGCCTCCGTTCCAAAGGATTTCACGAGCAGACGTCCGACGGTCATGTCGCTGAAGAGTTTGGCGCAGTTGGCGGTGAACAGGAACAAGTGCAAAAATATCGGCGGCCTGAGACACACCAGGGACAAATTGAAATTGGATCTTCCGCCCAGTCCCAGTGCCTTCACCAAGGGCTTCACGATGGAACCGCCCCCCGTCGAGCCAATAATCGGTGGGCGACAGGTCCCGACCTTCTCCACCTTCGGGAAGAGTCGCTTCGTCGTGCAGCACGTCGACACTCCACCCAGCGAAGAGAATACCAAAAACGTATCGTTCGAAGCTTTACCCTATAAACCGTTGGTCACCGCTTCCCTGAACGATGTCAAAACTCTTGTTGAAAGTGTGAGAGGTGAGGCTAGTCTGTTGGACAGTGCGGACGAAGACAGCGGCATCGAATCGTGCACTTTAGAAAGGCGAAAGTCTGTTTCTTAGTGGCCAATACAACATATGCCAAAATATGCACAGATATTTTAGAGTTCACAAAGAGAAAAACCCACCACCCCCTGTTTTAGCGTTTTAACCATTTTAAGAAATAATCAAAAAGAAAGAAAGAAGAAATCAGTGTGTATTCTCCTACTTTTAATGTATTGTATTTGTAAACATTCAGGAAGCTAATTGCCTTATAACAATAATAGATTAAGGCACATTTTATACAAAGCCAATCTCTCGAAAATCAAACAAACAAACAAAATGAAACGGTACTAATTTACTTATCAGTTTAACAGCAATCGTTATGTTTTATTTTCGCAATTAAAATATATATGTTTTTTATTTTTTATCACTTTAATAATATCAACTGTATTGTTTTCTCTTCTCTTTAACTGTATAAAATGTAAATTATTAGATTTTAATTTTATAATTGATTTGTAATTATTGTATTAGTTCCACATTACGATCCGTTTTGAAACAAACAAAGAAAGAATGATAGTAACAAGATGCAAACCAGAGTTGAGGAAGATGATGAAGAAATTCGTACAAATTGCAGCAATTTTGCGTCCAATCTTGTCCAAGTATGGGAGGTAATTGTAGCCTGATATGATCAGTATTTAATGTGTTATATATATATATTAAAAAAGTAATAATAACAATAATAAACAAATACGGTGTCGTTATTATATAATATATTGTAATATTAGTGCTAAGTTACTGTTTGTACCCTTCGTAGTTGAGTGTCCCAGGAATTTGTTGTTCTTGTTTTACGGGACAATGATGATAATGTGATCGGTTGAATCTGTAGTTATTTAGGTTTAACTATTACTACTTATTATAGAATCATTATAATATATACATATAAAACGAAACGAACAATTTACTAAATGCAATCATTTTCATTTCCCCCCTAATATTTCACCAAATAAATCAAAATTAAATTAATTCAATCATCATAATTTTATGTTATAACAAATTGTTGATTGATTGTTATAAAAATATGCAGATGTTGCATAATTTAACAATTATGGAATCTCCTAGTGGTAAGAAACAAAAGTAGAAGTATTGAATTGAATGTATAGATGGCGTTAGTAATCGTTGGTTGCATACGTAACAGAATAACGAGACAGCAAGTAAAATTCAGGTTCTGTGTAAATTTTGTTGACATTGTAGTCAAGATTGTAGTGAAGAGCTGAGCTGAGTGGAGCAGAGACTGGACTACAAATAGTAATTTAGCAAAAAGTGCAAGAAGATGAGCGGTTTCACAGAAAGTGCACTTATAAAGAAGCTGGCTGATCTGAACAATTCCTCCCAGAGTATACAGACCCTGTCCCTGTGGTTGATCCACCACCGCAAACACTATGCACAAATAGTGAAAATATGGTTGAGGGAGCTAATAAAAGGTAAACCACACAACAATCTGTAATTACAAAAGCTTCTTTTCCTAAAGTTCGTCCATGTCATTGCAGCGAAAGAATCAAAAAAGTTAATTATGATGTACTTAGCAAACGATGTGATCCAGAACAGTCGAAAGAAGGGTCCTGAATTTGGCAAAGAGTTTTGCATGATGCTGTCAAAGGCTTTCGAGCATATGGCTGACATCAATGCAGACGAGAAGACAAAAGGCAGCTTATGTAGGTTATTGAATATCTGGAAGGAGAGAGGAGTGTACAGTGAACAGCAAATAACAGAGTACAAGGAAGCATTAAGTAAGTAATCAGAAACATTGCCGATTTGAGATAAATACTAATTACAATAATACAGTGGTCACAGAGGAACCTCCCTTGAAGAAATCAAAGAAGTCTTTGATAAAAAGTGAATCACCAACTGATCGGAAAAAGGTGGAAAAAGAAAATGAGGTAACCTTGGAGGTAAGTACTTGGAAATTAAATTTATGAAAAGAACTTTTCATGATAGAGGATATTTAAGGTTGAAGCAAAATTAGACACTCATGTGCATCTTAGCCCAGGAACACCAGCAGGTGATCCTCCAGAACCAGAGGAATTGATTAAGGCAATAACAGACTTGGAAAATAACACAGCCTCAACTGATGAGGTTGTCAGGCAAAGAATAGCACAATTGCCAGTAGAGGTTACAGAGATTTCACATCTCTCAAAAATAGAAGGTTAGTACATTATGTTGCTTAATTAATATGAAGAACTTGCAAAATTATTTTGAAGTTTTCATCAATTGAAACAACAACAAAAAAATCAGTTAATTTCTTAGTTTTATTAAAACTTACAAATTTGAATTTGCAGACAAGGACAGTGCAGAGAAATTATCAAAGAAAATTGACGATGCGATAACGCTAATAAATGAATATAACACGAGACTGGCGTTGGAGGTGGAGAACAGAAAAAAAGTATCAACGATGTTGAGGGATTTCCTCATATCCCAGAAGGAATTGCTCGCGCAGGCGGAACTTTCGTTAGGGGTTAAGTTTATTGGTTAAGCGGTTTTTGCAAACGAGTACTAACTAATATATGTGTATGTATTGTTATAGGAATATCAAGACAAATTGCAGAAGGCTTACATCGTCAGGCAGGAACTGAAATCGCACATACAAAATCTGCCCGATCTGACCGCTTTACCGGACGTGACTGGTGGACTACCGCCTTTACCCTCTGCCGGCGATCTCTTCAATGTTAACTTACATAATATGCATTAAATTTATTTAAAATGCAACGCTAATTGGCTAATAACTACGCTCGGAAGACAACAACAATGAATAGAAATATATACATAAATGATTGGATGGATGGATGGATGGAAAACGAAGCATTTCAAGAGATGGAAATGTTTATAATATTTTCATAGTTCTTTAAATGTTTGTTAACTAAACAAAGGAATATAATTAATTAATTGAATTAGCATTGTTCACATTTGAGAAATTGAAAGCAAACACTAAATGAGAAAGTTTCTTCAGATGAAACCTATACCTATGAAGTGATACCTATATTGTTTTGTTATTTTTTTTTTTGTTTGTTTGCTTTTTGTCCTTATGTAATGAATACATTTAAGATTATATAATTATTAAGTGAATTATAAATAAAAGGAAATTATTTGAGTTTAAATATTTTGTCTTATTATGTTGGCGCCCTATTATCGATCTTGTTTTTTTTTCTTTTCATAATGTTGGTATGTTGATGGTTGAAATCCAAATTGATCTAAAGACTGTAGTTTACAAACAAATCAGTGTTCAGTGGTGTTTGTTGAGAACGTAGCTGTGCTGGCATCAGTTTTAATTAACGATGGAGGAGTACGAGGACAGGAGCTGGGATTGTGGTGATGTGATGGACGACGAGTCTGAGGGTATGGATGAACACAATGATAACCCTCAGCAAGTTCTCGCTGAGTGTGCTGTTAAATTTGCTACCCCTGATTACATTATGGAACCAGGGATATTCTCCTCACTCAAAAGGTATAAGTCTACATTAATCTTGTAATTGAATCCTATGTAATGTGTTCTTCTTTAAAGATATTTCCAGTCGGGAGGGGATCCTGTACAGGTTATAGAACAGGTCTCACAGAATTACACAGCAGTAGCGCAGATGGCTAATTTAATTGCTGAATGGCTAATTATTGGTGGTGTCAAAGTAACAGATGTTCAGGCGATGGTGGAGAATCACCTGAAGGATATGATTGTGAAGACATTCGATCCCAAGAAGGCTGACACTATTTTCACGGAGGAGGGAGAAACTCCTGCATGGTTGACCGAGCTCATTGAACATCCCACGTGGCGCTCCTTGATTTACAAGCTTGCCGAGGAGTATCCAGATTGTCTGATGCTTAATTTCACGATTAAGCTGATTTCGGATGCTGGATTCCAGGGCGAAATTACAAGTATATCAACAGCAGCGCAACAATTGGAGGTATTCTCCAGGGTTCTGAAAACCTCCATTTCAAGTTTTCTGACTAACCCAGAGGATTGGCAAAAAACTACAAAGGAGTGTGCAAAAATGGTTTGCCATGGTCAGCATACATACGTTTACGCTCAAGTGATTATACACGTGTTGGCGCGAGAAAATAAGGGCGGTAGCAGCATGAAGAGGTTGTCGCAGGAGATTACGAAATGTGCCCAGAAGAACAGAAACGACGTTACGCCGATAACGATGGCTTTGAACGGAGCAGCCGCTTATCCGCAGGCATGTCAAGCGTTGACTGCTATGTTGTCGAAGAACACTTTGAATCCGGCCGATATAAGCGTGCTCTTCAGGAATTACAGTGGCAACGATCCGCCTCCAATCGATTTGGTGAGGACACCTCAGTTCTTGGAGCTGCTCGTCGATTCTCTGTTTAAGCCAGCCGTGAAATTGAATCCTGACCATAAACCAAAATACATCTACCTGTTGGCGTACGCAGCCAGCGTTTGCGAAGTTCCAGCGAAAAAAGGACAAAAGCGTACATGGAATAAGGACGAGTTGAAAAGTACGATACAGGCCATAGAAACCGTTCACAACATTTGCAATATTAACAAAGGGAGTTCAGAGTTGATTGCTGATTTAAAAACGTTATATCAAAGCTTAAGGTATTCATTAATTCATTCATCCCATATTTCATATCTAGATGATTAATTTACAAATATTTTCAGGTTTTCGGTGGTAGCAGTAGGAGTGGTGCGTTGGGTCGAGTATACAGTTACGGATTCAAGTTATTTTAAATTGCAAACTGAGCATTGCCCAGTTCATTTAGCGCTTCTCGATGAGGTTGTCTCATGCCATACACTTTTACACACTCAGGTGTTGGATTTGTTAATTAGACTGTTTGAGTCCAAGCAGGACGAATTGGAGATTTTAGTACAAGTAAGTTTTTTGGAGTTGTGCACAAAGATTTCGTGATATCAATGTTATATATATTTTCTTTTTGTTAGTTGGAAATGAGGAAAATGGTCCTGGACAGAATGGTGAATTTGTTATGTTCCGGTTGCGTTGTTCCAGTCGTCAAGTATATCAAGACGTGCTGGCAGAAAGGCGACACTGACATATCTTTGATCCGTTATTTCGTAACAGAGGTTCTCGAAGCGATCGGGCCCCCGTACAGTCCTGAATTTGTGAACCTTTTCATGCCGATGGTGGAGAACGATGAAATCACCGGAACGATGCGCGGCGACGGTGAAAACGATCCAGTTTCAGAATTTATTGGCAAGTATTTAAATAACTAAATTTCTTTCAAACGTTGCTGAAATATATTTAAACGATTGCTGACTTTTTCCTTCCTTTTTCATTTCAGTTTATTGCAAGGCCAATTACACAACTGTCTGAGCTTGAACCATAAATACTACTATATATATATATGTTTAGATAGATAGAGATTTTTAATTAACTGATATATATATATGATTATTATTAATTTTTTAATAAAACAGTATTTTAATTACAAATTTGTGTTTCTTCACTTTCTTCGTTTACTTTAGGAAGGTAATATAAAAAATATAGATAACCAATTTAAACTTATATTAATTATATACAATATATACAATAAAACTATACATACAAATAAACATACATACAATATATACAAATATACAAATAAACGTTATTCACTACTCCTCTGCCTCTGCGACCTCTTTGCTTTTCTTCTTCTTCTTCTTTTTCTTCTCTGGAGATGACTGCAGTTCCTCAGTTGGCTGCTGCTCTTCCTTAACTTCTTCCGATTCTTCTACAGCTTCCGCCTTTTCCTTTTTCGCCTTCTTTTTCTTCTGTTTGGGCGTCTCTGTGGTTTCAGTTTCTTGCACTTCTTCCTTAACTTCAGACGTAGATTGTCCGCGTTTCCTCTTTCCCTTAGTGTCTAAGTTGACATCCTCTTCTTCGTTGTACTGCTTAATTTCACTGAAAAATTAAATTAATAGTTAGTAAACAAATATAGATGGCTAATATAAATAAAGGGATAATTACCTAATACCATGGTACTTCTCGAATTTGGCCTTCACTTTACCAGTGCCACTGATTTTCCTCGAGTTTCCGGATTCCAATACCCTCAATCTGGCTTCCAACTTGGCCCTATGTTCAGCGCCCAAGTTGAAGGTTCCATCTTCTCCAAGAGCATCGACACGGGTAGCCAGAGCTGCCTTGGCAGCCAACATCCTAGACATTTTACCCTTGTTCTTGACGCTGGTCTGTCCGATCAAAGACGCGTGGTAGATCAAACCGTATTTCGGAGTTTCCTTCTTGGTCTTCAGCGCACGGAAGAGAGCTTTTTCAGCACCGAGAATCTGCACCGTGGAAGCCGGCTGTTTGGCCAAATTGATCAAAGACCCGGCATGCGAGATGAGCCTTGCACCGACCAATTCACCGATCAAAACGGTCAGATTTGGAGCCATTGCCATCATCCTAGACTTCAAGTAGTCGTACAGTTGAGTGCGGTAGTTGGAAATTTCGATGACTTGATCGCAGAGATGTTGAATGTTGATGATATCGTCGTCGGAAATCTCAGTTCCCATCGAGATCTCAGCTGCTTCCTTAACTTTAGCCTCAATTTCTTCTGGTAGAATGTCCGATAAATCGGAAGATGCGGAGTTCTCCCTCGTGCCCAGGATTTTTACAGTCTTGACAAATGCAATGTTGTCAGTGACGAGTTTACCCATTTCCGGGAAATGCCAGCCGTACCATTCGCGGCACCTCATGATGTAATTGTTCAATTCCTTATCCAAGTCATCCAATAAACAAACAGCTTGCACAATCATAGTGTCAACTTTGTCCGGTGAGAATTTCAGCTTGTACCTGGACAGCGAGTGAGCTAAACCAAGAGACATAGCAGTCATCTCTTTCTTGGGGAGGCCAGCCAACAAACTGTCCAACTGCGAGCGGATGCATCTCATCAACTCTTGAGTGTGTGTATGGGCAACACATGGCAAATCAAACTTATCTTTGATAGCGGATCCCAATTTAGGATCAGCCACCAACAACTGCTCATTTTCAACGTGATTTTTGAGGACCTTCTTCAAAGTCTTCGAAATCTTTCCTTCAACAGAAGCAGTTATAGCAGACAATGCTTCTGTGGTATCGGTGAACTTTTCAAAATGTTTAAGTTTAACACTGAAAAAAACAATAATATTTACTAGAGGAACGAATGAAATAAATAAAGCAATACTCACATCCTGCTAGCTGATTCGGCATCGTTAAATTCTTGGTACAAATTATCGGTCTTCTCCAATTTTTTTTCATCGAGGAGCTAGAAAAGCATGGTACATTGAGGTTATGTTTATGGTAAATACATGTGTTTGGGACGGAAATAGATTGAAAATTACCTTGAACAAAGCGTAACCCGCCGCCGTTTCGAATAAAACCAACATTTTTGCACTGTTCACTGTTCTCGTCCGTACATATTTTTGAAATTGTTTAATAGAAAATTAACAAACCTACGAATAGGTTCATAGCAACGGAAAAGGAAATGAATCCAGAAAGCACGTTGTGGTTGTGGCTTTTAATGTAAGCACGCCTCACTAGTTACTCAACAGTCGTACCAACATTGAAACTGTTTGAAACCATAACCATGAATGATTTCAAATATTTCAAAAAATATTCACTTCAGAGAATTTATAATCAATAATTATAAATTTAATAATTAATATCTATCATAAACAAATAATAGTATCATAATAAATACTAAATTAATCGGAATGACCTTAGGCAAAATCTAAGTTGGTACTTCAATAACATCAACTATCAAAACATGTTTAACCTTATTTTATTTAAAGTTAATAATTAATATCTAGTTGCATTTGATTATTAATAATAATCATGTCAGGATTAAATATAACAATAGAGTTTGGGTAAGTTGCATCAATTCCATCTAAATTATATATAAAAACATCTTTCCTCTTACAGAGGAGGAGCAGAACTGCTCTTTGGAAACAAAAAGAAACAGGAAGTTATTTTACCAGCGAAGGAAGGAGAATGTATGAGAAAATTAATATATTTAATAATAACTTGATCAAATTGTATTTTTGTAGGGACACTGAAAGACCTCATTTTTTGGATGAAGGATAATTTATTGCAGGAAAGACCAGAGCTCTTCATACAAGATGATTCTGTGTAAGTAATAATAATAATAATAGATTTAATTGATATAATAAACTGCTTTCTTCGTTTAGTCGACCTGGCATTTTGGTTCTTGTTAATGATGCAGATTGGGAGTTAATGGTAAATAATTCTTGATATTCAATGTACTGAATTTCAATTGCTTTCAATTCTCTTTTAGGATACTGTGAAATATGTACTTGAAGCAAAGGACAAAATTGTGTTTATTTCAACTCTCCATGGTGGATGAATGTGATATTTGAATACAATAATTATTTATAAATTGTGCATACGCACCTTTTTATGAAACAAAAGTTTGGCAATGTTCGTCGCGTAACAGGACGTGAATTTCTCGACAACCCCTTAAGATAATTACATCACCGACCACTCGTATGAAAGCTGAATGTTTCAGCTTTCCAATGAGCCTATTGGCATCTTGGTACTGTTATCGAGTCGCCTGCTATGAGTTGTAGAAGTTGAAAAAACAGAGAAACGACGTTGCTTTTTCAGTCTTTTCAGTTTTTCGTGGATTTCTCGACAACCCCTTAAGCTAATTACATCACGACCACTCGTATGAAAGCTGAATGTCTCAGGTTTCCAACGAGCCTATTGGCATCTTCGTACTGTCATCGAGTCGCCTGTTATGAGCTGCAGAACGTTTTTTTTGTATTTTTTTTCAGTTTTTACAGTTTTTCGTAATTTCTCAACAACCCTTAAGACAATTATATCGTCGACGACTCGTAGAAAGCTGAATATTTTGCCTTTCCA